GGAGCAGGGGTCAAAGAAGGAAATAAGGGGGGTGATAAATAATCAGGACGCATCACATGCCTGCATGAACCATCACAGTAAATCCATTTTTGTATCATTAATATCCACGAACAAGTGTACATTTACAGCTGTAGCAAAGCCTGTCACACAGACCATTCTATTTCTATGTTTTATTTATAAACTTGCTATTTCAGGAATATGCGGTTTGAGTCTGATGGGTGGCATTTTTGTGGGAGGCTGAGAATCCAGTCAGTTGAGTGGTGTGGACAGTGTTGAGGTGTTTGATTCTAGAGTCTCTGGGCTCACTGTTGATGGGACCATGTCAGGCATGACTTAAGTTGGAATTAGGATGCCACTGGAATCTGTATGCAGAAAGAGTTATCACAGTGTCCTTTTCTTCACATGACCTATTTACAACCTGTAGAGGTATGTATCCAAGCGCAGAAAACATTACAGTAGTGATTGCAGATTGATGACTCAATTCTAAAATTCGGAATCCTCAGGCTTACGAAAGCAGCTCAACTCCGAGGCTTCAAACTTAACTGTTAACCCTGTCATTTAAGGTTCTTAGCAAAAAATTCATCTTCCCATGATAACTTTCAACTCTTGCCTCCTGTTGTCCCTTCTCATTGCCTTCTGGTAGTAGGGAGATTTGCCATGCTGAGACACAGCTTAACAGCGTCAGGTAGGATTCTGTCAAGCCTCCTGAGTGGTAATCACTACACAGAAGTTAGTGCTCTGAACTGAAAGCTGGGTGTTCCATTTTGCTCCTGTTGCTGAACCATCGCAGTTAGAGTTTCCTCAGCAGGTCCAGGGCACTGGTTGACACAGGTGGTGATTGGGGCCACTCTGTGTTCTGCATTTGGCCAAGGGTTGTGTTTGGAAAGAAGGCAGCCTGGAATAAAACCCAGTGTGCTGTTATTTTCAGTGTTGGCAAACTGCTAAAAATAACATATTCTCCGACAGCATTCATTCATTCATTCATTCATTCATTCATTCATTCATTCATTCTTAAGACAGGGTCTCACCACGTAGCTCTGGCTGTCCTGGAAGTCTCTCTGTAGACCAGGCTGGCCTCATATTTACAGAGCACTACTTGCCTAGGCCTCCATGTGCTGGGATTCACTGTGTGTCCCCTCTCAGACATTCTTGACAAACATTTTTATTGTGGCTGTGAACTGTGTCTCATGAATATTATTTTGTATAAATATATTTTCAGAATGCCACCTCTGAAGAACAAAGTGGAGCATTGAAAACTTGCCTAATAAAAACATGTCTTATTTGAGTGTTTTTTCTTAATGATTTTAACTTTTTCATTTATATTTAACTATGCTTCCAAGAGCATCCATTATCCAGAATGAGACTTGGGGGACCATAAACCTGGTACAAAACTGTATTATAGTCAGAATAACTCACGAAGGAGGTAACATTTGCAGCCAGTAAAGTAAAACCATGGGTAGAGTGTCCTAAAAAAATCTATATAATGTTCTCTAAGGTTATAGGGTGTTTGAGAAGTTTACATGTGTCATCTGTACATTGAGCAACTATGTCTAGTGTGGCCTTTTTATCTATACATGAAATTGTATTAAGTGATTTCCATCACACTGCTTTTCATGATGAAAAACTTAACCAAGAAAGGAGTAAAATACAGTAGGCGCATTGCTTGCTAAGATCACTACGCATTAAATTCAGGAGCAAGAATGGCACATGTGGGCCAGCTATAGTCTAATAATGTGACTGTTGATATGTATACGCAATTTGTTTCTGTAGATAGTCCACCATGCCTCCCCACTTCCAGCTTGTTACACTGTGGTTAAGTAAAATTGTCCAGGTAACTTGAGTTGGATGCGTGGGCCCTTCTGTAATTCTGGTTGATACAGAGCAGGAGGTAATATTCAGATAACCAGATTTGTTTGTGCTTTTATTTTTGGAAAGTCAGGTCTTTGAGTGAAATGAAAACAGTGACATTAAATGGAATGAACTTGGTAAATACTGCAGGAAAAGCCTGGTAACCTTTGAGTAGAATTTGGCCTCTTTCCATAAATTTAAATAAGTACCTGTTGAATTAAACCTCTTCTTGAGTCTTCCTCAGGAAGGGGAACGGCTTTACAGGAGGCTGCTCGCTCACCATACTCAGCACTTAGTTATTTTAGTGAACGTATTTTTGACTGGCGTATAGGTTGTGAGAGATGGCAGATTGAATAGCCCCCTTTTCCTGTTTTTCTGTTTTAACTGACTTCAGGGCTTTGAGTATGACTCAGTGGCAGAGCACATCCTTAGCATGGGCTAGGATGGGTCAATCCCAGGCTTCTATTTGTGGCATGACAAAACAAACCCAAACATTAGTGTCCTGATATGTGGCTTCAGTCACCAAAACGGTTGCTTGGCTTACCACCAGGGTGGCATAGAATCCTTTGACTTGAGGCCAGATAGTGACAGGCCAACAAGTAACTTGCATTAAGGCTACAGGCATTTCTGGGCCTTGGTGTTTGGTAACTGGTTTAATCAGTCTTTGGGGTGCCACTTATCAGCAGCCAGTTAGCTGTGTTGCCTGGTGTTCCAGTTGTGTTGCTAAAAAGCTGGGAGGGGAAGCATTTCTCTCCCAGCGCCAAGGACAAGGGCATGGAAGATGATAATGACAGTGGAATGTCCTGAGGCTCTTAAAGAATTCGAAGTGACTGTAATTAAACCTTTAAGCAGACAGAGAAATGTACTTTTTCCACTTGATGTCTTCAGAAGACAAATAGGAAATGTCTCTCCCTGAACCATTTTTGGCAATCACTGAGAAAAATTGTTACGGTGGTAGCCATCATCCTGTATTTTATGAACGCACCAGCCAATGATGAGATCAGCACTTCAGTGACTCTATTGCGTTTCTTCTTCATGCTGTTGTAGCACGGTGTGTGCTGTTAAAATAACCTCTTTTCAGACGGGTGTTTTCTTTCACCCTTTGTGTCTCTTCTACAAGAGTTTTGTTTGCTGTTGTCTTACAGCACTGAGGGTGGAACCAGGGTTGCTGGCCTACTGAGCCACGTATACTCCTAACCCTAGTGTTGGGCCTTTAGTCCAGGTTCTGTCAATGCGCATGCACTTGCTGCTGATCTCTGCAGTGGCCTGAATGAGCAGTGAGCTCATTTGTCTTGGTTACTGTTCTGGTGAGTTCTGATACTATGACCAGTGACCATGGCCTGTTTTCAGCCAGCCTTCTTGGGTGCCAGCTTGTTCTGAGTCAGGGTTTGGCTGATAATGTGATGCTTCATGTTGAGGGCAGAAGCAAGAATCAAAGGCGGGGAAGGGTTGTGTTCTAAGGAGCTGTGCTTGCTTCTGAAAAGATGCCGAGCCTTGGTCGTGGGAGGATACGGCCATGTGGGAGACCAGAATCCAACGGTGAAAGTAGCAAGTGAGCCTTACAGCCGCAGCCTCAGCGTGGGCTGGCTGACCACTGCCTGACTGCAGCCTTCGGGGTGCTGGATCTTTCGCCTTGAATCTTTGCCCGATTGGCTGCGAGCACCAATGGCAATGACAATGACCTTCCTGGGTGCAGCAGCCAACAACTTCCAGATAGAACTCAACATGAATTACGGCTGTTAGTTTTAGGATTTTTATCCATTTAATTTTTGAATATTTGGAGTGCACATGCCTGTGAGTGCGGTGGAGGTTGATGTTAGGTGTTTTCTCCAGTCAGTCTTCATCTTATTTCCCGAGTCCTCTCAGTGAGCCTGGTGCTCACTGATTGAGCAAGGCTGGCCAGCCTCCGCACTCAAGGACTTCCTGTCTTCACTTCCCCAGCACTGGGATCACAGGCTTGTGCCATTGTACCCAGCTTATGTGGGTGCTGGGGATCAGAACTCGGTCCTTGTGCACACAGAGCAAGCACTTTACCTACCAGACCACCTCCCTCCCAGCTCCCAGTCACTTCTAATTTTCAAGACAGTCTTCATTATGGTTTCACGTAGAAGACTGAGTCCCTGAGGCCTGTGGTTAACACAGCCTCTTTGAGTGAAGGACACAGGCAGGCCTAAAATTCAAGACACAAAACCCCAGCTGCAGAAACAGAAAGCCATGGCAGCCTAATGGAAGATGATATAGTTCTCTGATCTAAGGAAAAACTATTCACAAACACAATATCAGCTATTCAGTGGTTCCTGTTTGGTTTTTAAACACATTTAATTTGGAGCATTCCCTCTATCTGCCAATAGGGAAAGGGCAGTCTCTTGCTTGCTAAAGGCGCCATTTATCACTCGGTGGCTCCTTGCCTCACTTCCCCGCCAGGCCTATAGACATGTTTGAGTGTATAACTCTGGTCTAAAGGTCAGGAGCAGAGAGTCTATTCTTTCTTTGTTTGAGCTGGGAAACAAATATTCCCAAACCTTTTTTCCCCCAGGACATTTTTTTTTTTCATTTTGCCAATACTTAAATATATATATATATATATATATATATATATTGCTTGCTTTTAGTTTTAATTCATTTCCTTCTTTCTTGGCCTATGCCTGTCAATAAATAGAACAACTGCTCAGAAACTGTTGGTTTCTAGGAACACAGTTCATAAAAGCAGTCTTTGTGTCCTGTCTGTAAACTCTTTCTGTACTCAGTCCAGTCTCGCTCTGACATCTCGGAGCAGGCAGTCAGACCCTTTGCCAGTTAGGAGTGTTGTTACCCAGTGAAATTCATACTGCCTCCCTGACTTCATTTAGCATCTTCCAGCACACTCAGGCGAGCAAGGGAACATGAGCCTGACTTTCCCATATGTGTGAATATCAGGCGTGAAGCTGCTGGAATGGATTTGGCTATCTTCAGTAAACATGCTTTTTTAATTTGTAATTTCTGAAGTTCCTTATTGTGTTTGTTCTCAAAGTTGGTTTAGGAGTGCTTTTAGTAATGTCCCGTGGAAGTCCTATACCATTATCTCTTTTTTTTTTTTTTTCCTGCCCCTTTAAAGAGGAAATGAAGAAAGGAAAGAATTTAAAACAACTACTGCCTGAATTTTTCTTTTTCAGATGCAAAGGAAATTGTTTTAAAAGCCCAGATCTTAGCTGGAGGACGAGGAAAAGGTGTCTTCAATAGTGGTTTGAAAGGAGGTGTTCATTTAACAAAAGAGTAAGTCTGGAGGGCTTAGGTCCCCATCCTGTTCGTGACTGAAAGTTCTTGAGCAGGAGGGCTGGGGCTGGGCTGGGCTGGGGCTGGGCTGGGGCTGGGCTGGGGCTGGGCTGGGGC